CTAGGAGATGATCGGGTCAGTTCAAGCATGCTGCATTGCAACAAGATTATTGTTGAGTCATTATTATTTTTATTGGTTTTTCATCATATCTATTATCATAAAATAAATTTTCAAATCTAAAAATAAGGGTCAAGTAAAAGTTGTACCTCAAAATGAAAATCAGGTTTCACTTAAAATGGTTTCGATCTATGTTTGATTCTCAGTTTCCTTCAAATTTTTGTTCTTTGTTTTTGTTTTGAATTAAACGAAACTGAGCATTTAAAAACAAGGCTGAAACAATAATAATTTATTTTAACCTGAATTTCATTTAACAATAAAAAATAATATAGTCAGCACGAAGCATAATTTCATCACCATACAGTCTGTAAAATTTGTGAACAAGAAAGCACTGTAAGCAAAGAACAGAGCTCTATGAAATTTACAGAATATTATGAACATGTAGCTATTCTTATTCAATTTACATGTATTAAAGTAATTTATGTTTGTGAAAATAAGTTGTACAGATGTAAATTAATACATCTGAAGAAAAATAACTGTCATTAAAAAGACATGATATCGCAACCTAATCCCATGAGGAGAAGAGATATCAAGCACATGCCAAGACCTATAGTGCACCTGACTAGCCACCTTTTAAAACCTCTATCATTAGGCAACGTCAGAACACAAGGTCACAATGTAAATAGGCCCAACTGCATGTAACACAAGGAAGAAAGAGAATATAGCTACATGTAGATTGAGCTAATGGAATACTTGTAAGGTGTTGAATAAATGAAATACAGACAAGTGTAGAAAGTGGGGAAGGTTTAAGAGGGGCTCTCATGGCATAATAAATGTATGAACGAGTGGCCCTCACATGACTAATTTATTAGTGGCTTCTTTTACAAACAGAAAACAATTTTTTAATCAATTGATATTTTAAGACTTTAGACTATAGTGTATCCTGTCATGGATGTGTTTAAAAAGCCAACAAGGAACCCACATTCATTTCAAAATAAAAGCAAAAAACCTTAAAAGTTTTCTGGTAGATTAATATTATCATAAGTAACATATAATATACAGAATTGATCACATCACTCCCATTCATAAGGACAGTGAGCGAGAACCAGTTGAACATTACAGAGGTATCTCACTGCTGTCCATCACAGGCAAGTGTCAAGAAAGATTAGTATATGATGCAATTTTTGGACAAGTTATCGAGTTCATCCACCACAGATTCCTAAGATCCTGTACAACGTAGCTTCTCTTGGAGCACAATGACTGGTCTATGGCCCTCGTTAATGGTGGTCAGGTTGATGTGGTATTCATTGATTTTGCTAAGGCCTTCACAATGTAAGTCACTCCATACTTTTTAATAAGTTATACAAGTATGGAATTCGTTGTAGCCTTTTGGACTGGTGTAGAGACTACCTTACTAACAGTCGGCGAAGAGTCGTTGTAAAAGGGGAAGTATCTGACTGGCTAACAGTTACCTCTGGCATGCCGCAGGGCTCCCTGTTGGGTCCCTTATTTTTTATAATTTATATTAATGATTTACCAGGGGTTATCAGTGGGGATAGCTCAATTGCCTTATATGCTGATGATAGCAAATTATATAGGGTCATTAACTCTCCTGAATATATTGCATCCCTTCAGGATGACCTTGATAAGATTTCTGACTGGTGCAAGGAGAATAAAATGAAGGTCAACGTTAAGAAATGTAAAATTATGAGAATTACTGAAAAAAAAGTCCTCTGGTTAGGGACTAAAACATTAATGGTCAAACTCTGAATAGCGTACATATACATAAGGACCTAGGTTTGCTTACTAGCTCTAATTTATTATGGAATTCTCATATAGACTCTATATCTGCTAGGGCTAATGGGGTTCTTGGTTTGGTGAAAAGAACGTGTAAGGACTTTAAAGATATTACTACTACTGCAGTCTTGTTACACCTTTGCTGGAATACTCATGTGAAACCTGAAATCCCCACACACAACGCAATATTAATAGGTTAGAGGCAATTCAGAGGAGGGCAACTAAGTTCATCCTAAAATCTAATGAGGATTATAATACAGTGAAACCTCTATTAAGTGGACACCTTTGGGACCTTCCCAAGAGTCAGCTTAATACAGGGTGTCCGCTTGACGGAGGTTGTAAAAAATGTGCAATGTTTGTCAACGATCAACATTCAACGGTTACTCTGTACTGTGACAAAGTTGCATGTTGTTAAAGAAGCTATCCAGAGTTCAAGTTCATTACTTTTCATTACCAACTTTAATTTGTTTGTAAAACCTTCATTGCAATAGGTGTATACCAAGACGCAAAGCGTCGAGGTATATACGTATCTAGCACTGTTCACTGACCCTGAGGGGGATAGTTGTTTTAGTATTTACCAAATCAGTTGAATAAAAACAAAAAAATAACTTTTTGTAACCTAAAAACATCCCTTAGTAGGAACTATGTTTACAATTTACAAACATTTCGGGGATATTGCCAAGTGCATTTTTTACAATTTTGTTGCAAATTCAGCGTGAAAATCATTTTCTACCAACCAGTAAACACCGACAAGCCAAAGT